TTTTTTTATAAAATAACTTTTTTTACAAAAAGGAATCGGAGCAGCATGCGCGAAACGTTTTGCAATGTGCGGTGCTAAAGTTGTCATTTGCGGATTTGAAGCTGATGAAGTTGAGCAAGTGGCACAGCAAATTAAAGGTATTACTGGTGAGATGCCATTTACTTTGACTGGAAACCTAACTGAAAATGGCTTTGCTGAAAAGCTGGTCAAAAACACTGTAGAGCACTACGGCCGCATTGATGTTCTTGTCAACAATGCTGGCCGTGCTTGCACTGGAGATTCCTTTTTGGATAAAGAACTGATGAACCAGTACAGTACCTTGATGGATTTAAACTTGAAAACTGTTATTAAAATGATTCATCTTTGTGTTCCTCACTTGGAGGCAACAAAAGGAAACATCGTTAACGTGGTATGGCTATTTGTTTGTGGAAAAATTAAATTAAAACTCTAAAACTGATATTTGTTAATAAAGTCATCCATTGCTGGTTTTGCTCCATTACGTATGCCTCTATACAGTGCATCTAAAGCAGCGGTATGTTTATAACTACATTTTAAAAATAAAAAAAATAATTTTTATTTTAATTAGGTTAACATGATCACTAAAGTGGCCGCGGTTGAGCTAGGTGAAAAGGGAATACGCTGTAACTCAGTCAATCCAGGTCCAATCAAAACTAATATTGGACGAAGTGTAGGAGTTCCTAAGTTGCTGTTGAGTGAGACTAGCGAATTGTCGAATCACACAATTATGCAGCGAAACGGAGAACCTGATGAAGTGGCAAATCTAGTCCTTTTCCTAGCTTCTAATGAAACTTCCAGCTACATTACTGGTGTAAACAATTTAGTCGATGGCGGTTACATGTGTCTCTAATAAAAGCTTATAAAACTACATTGTTAAATTTTGCTAAAAGATGGCGCATAATTTTCTAGTTTGTTCTAAATAAAAACCTGAACTACACAATTACCGTTTTAACTTTTTTAATTTGAATTTTTAATAGACAACTTTTCATGATTTAGCTTAAAACTTAATTATTATAATTTTAAAAATTTGTTTAAACTTTCTGCTAAAGTAATTTTAAGTTTAAATATTGGTTTAATATACAATGCGTAATTTAGTTCAATAAAGTAAATGTTTAAAAGTTATTTTTGTCAGCTTCATTATTTGCAAATGTTTAATTGAAATGAGAAAAAGGAAAACAATAGAGTTTTGGTACTTCACGACTGCACTTCAAATAAAAAATTGCAAATGTTTACATTATTACTGACATTTTAATATGAATAATATTTTATATGTAACTTGTTATTGTGCTCATTATTTTTTGTCATTATTGTTACAAATAGAATACATACATCTAAAAATATTTTAATATTTATGCAGTTTTGTAGATGAGTGCGTTTATTGTCCAAATGAATATTAATTATTAATGAGCAATTTACTTTTTATCACTTTATTGCCATCATATTATTAATTATTTTTAAAATGAAAATTTTCTGTTTCCAGTGATGCTCATTTTTATTATTTTTTAAATAAAAAATGATTTTGTTTTTTATAGCAAAATTGTTTAAAATATTTTTTTGTTTTTAAAATAAAAAACAATGTTGTCAACAAGTTTATGTTTTTTACTAAAATAAAAATGCTATATTTAGTGAATACCTGTTGTTCTGCTGTTTTTTCTTTGAAATGATTAACATTTTGATAAACTGGTTTTATTTTACATAAACTTTGATGTTTTTAAATATCATAAATGGTTACTTAAATAAAGAAAATTACTCAAAATAATTTTCAGTTACTCATAATTAAAAATGTTTTAAAATTTAAGTTTCAAAATTATCCAGTAAAATCAAAATGCGTTTGGGTTAAGTCTATAGTTTGTGACTAAATCATAAATGTTTCTACAATTTTCTACAAACCAATTTAAATTTGTTCATTTCTATGCAAATCACACAATTTTCATCTAAAGTAAACTTTGCACTTAAAAATAAATTGATCAAAAATGTAAATAAAATTAAAAAGTGTTTTGTTAAAAAACAATTTAATTTGAAATTTTTTTAATTTAATAATATTCATTTTTTGTGTTTGCTGGTAAAAACATGTAAATTATTCTGTTTTAAAAAAGTGTTTTAACATTTCAACAATGCGTTTGCAAAATCTATCTAACTTCACTAAAAAAATGATGTTTCTTCCTCTTAACGCACTTTTTTGTTTCTATAAATTACATCGTTCAAGATATTGAAAAACGGTTTTTACACAACAAACAAGCTAAATGGCATCTTTCAAATGGTACTAAACTTGGGATGTTTCAAACACCGGGTGCATTTTTAAGATTATAAATTCGAACTTTCTGAATAAGTTCTATACGATTTGTTTTGACTCTAATAAATACATCGTGAAAGTTATCGAGTTGCAGTTTTTGCTTGAATACTAAGCTAACGGATATCTACTTACTGGCGTTTAATTCAGAAAGATTTAACTTTTGAGAGTAATTATTACAGCCAGTTAAAGTTTTCATATATTAATTTCAAATGATTTTTTTGTGTTTACATTTATGATTCTATAAACTACATCGTTTAAGATTTAAAAACTCAGTTTTACCTAAAAGCATTGCAAAGTAGTGTTTATCTAATGGTATTAAGTTAAAATTAATTTGGTAAACGCAAGTAATTATTATGGCCAGTTACAGATTTTATAAAAGTTCTCATATTAATTCCACATGATTTTCTGCATTTTCATTTATGTTTCTATAAATTACATTTTTTATGATATCTAAACACGGTTTTACCTAAAAGCAATGTTAACTGTTATCTTTTAATTAGTTTTAAACTTAGGTTGATTTGGCCAACAAAAGTAATTATTAAAGCCTTTTTAAATTTTTGTGCAAATCTCTATTTAAGTTCTATATGATTTTTTGCTTTTACATTCATGGTTCTAGAAATTACATTTTTTATGATATCAAATCACAGTTTTATTTGAATGAAACGCTAACTACCACATATCTATTGATGTTAAATTTGAGTTGACTGAACTACTAAAAGTATTTTTTATGGACTTTCCAAATGTCATTAAACAGAACTTTTTACAATAATTTCACAAAATGAACCAACCAGGTAAACCCTAAATGTTAAAGGCTGGTGTCATTTGGTTGATCGGCACCGACGGCTCGGGGCACAACGAGCTTGCGAGTTGTGTCCCTAGCCGTCGGACGATGCCGATCAACCAAATGACATCAGAAAATGCTTAATGATTTGAAAAAATCAGAAAGTGCGTGGCGCGATGCGACACTAACACCCTTGTTTTATTTATTTTTTCCGTTTATGTTAAGCATTGTTTATTTAACTAATGTGACGTAATCGAACCTGATATCTTTAATTTTTTTGCAACAGTTATTTTAGTTGAGTGCGTTTTACGGTTGTAAACATAAATTTTTGTGAAACTTTAAAAACTTAAAAATAATATTAAAACATACCTTTGAAAAGTGCATTATCTCTAAAAATGCACGCATAAAAAATCTTTAAAGTGTTTATCTTTGTATTTTAACTTTTTAAAAAAAATTAAACAGCATTTTCTCATTTACATTCTAAAAGAAAAGTTTTTATTACTACAGATTTTGTATTCAACTTTTATATTATAATAATATTAAGATTATAGCACTGCTTAAATATAAAAAGATAGTTTGTTGAAATATAAGTTGTAACACAACACACAAACTAAGCACTTGAAAGTTTTCTGTTGTTGTTGTATAGAAACCAAATAATAGTAACACTTATTATTATCGCCATGTTAAAATTTATGCAACACATAAACGTTTCATGGTAGTCACTGCTTTATGTTTTTAACATTAGTTTTTCAGTAAGTGTTTTTAGTGAAATTGAACTTGTTTTTCTAGAAATTGTTGTTACTGTAGCACTGTTACACAGCTTGGTCAGGAGATGTGCTATTAAATAGAAGTTGAAGGGGAAAATCAGAAAGACTATTGAAACAGGCCAAAGCAAGCGAGAACACTTACTTGATTGATAGCACAACAGTAGATCTGTTTGCATGTGTTTTGAAATGGTAAAAGACAAAAACAGTCTAAGAAAAGATAATCAAGATAAAAAGAACAAAAAAGCAAAAAATAATAAATTCATTATAATAACATCTCATTTAAAAACAATCATGTGCAAGAAAACAAAAAAACTAAAAAGATGGAAAGGAATTGGACAAGTTAAAAAGATAAAAAGTAAATTAATAATTTAACAAAAAGTTTTTTAAAACTTATATTCTCAAGAATGTATAATCATTAACAAAAACAATTGTAAACGCAAGGGGCAGCAGAAAATTGAATAACTTGCACAAAGTTTAAAAAAGTTTTACTCAATTGTTACTGCGGCGCTTCAACTTTTAATTTAAAACAAAAATATTGATTGCTACCAGTTGAGCATTAAAACTATTTTTGTAAACAAGCAACACTTTTGAACTGTTTAAAAATTGGTAAATCTAATAAATAAAATTTTTAAATTTTCAATGAAATTAGGCTAAAACAATTTGTTGCCGGAAAAGCATCAAGCAAACTCATGCAAATGGGTTTCTTGTAAACTTAAAAACAATAAATTTTTTTATTTTTATTTAAATTTTAAAACAACATTTAAAATTATCGCGTACAAAAAAAACACATTGTAAATCAAATAAAATTTGGTTCAAAACAGAAAAGTCAGTTTTAAAGTTTTTTTGGAATTCTCAAACCGTGTATTTAACGACAAACAATCGTTTACAATGTCACTGAATAGTGCCATATTCATCTTCTTTTCTTTACCCTATTCTACTAGGGATTGCATTGCTGCCATGCCTATGACAATTTTTCATGTTTGTCTTGTTTGCATTTGGCTCAATTTTTTGCTTTTCAAATTTTTTGCTTTAAATATTGCCAATTCTTTGCATGCACTAACAACAAAACATACAGGCAAAACTCACACTGTCGATACGCCAGCAACTGTCGACGCGGACAGCGCCACCGTGCACAACAGTGAGCGTTTTTGCGGCCCGTTCGCATCTGTCGATAAACACCGCAGGACAGTTTTTATTTGACAGTGTGAGTTTTGCCTGTACATCATTTTATTACTGCCTCTCTATTAGCACTTTTACATGTTTTAAATTCTTGTTATTTTTTGTTAGTATGTGCATTTTGTACTTTTATTTTACTCTAAACTCATCTTTTGGCATGTTAAATTTGAAAACTTTTAATAGAACTATTTCAAACTTGGCAAAAATAACGTGTGAGCATGACATGTTGAGAACTATCAAGTAAAAAGTTTTGATAAACTCAAAGTTTAACGTTTGAACAACATTTTGTAACTATTTTTTTACTGCTACAATAATAAAAAACATTTATTTTTAGATGCAATTATTATAATTTAATATAGAGTGTTTTTTAAACAAACCAATTTTTGTAGAACGTTTATATTTACGAAATACATGAATTAATTGATAAATTTTAAAAACTATCAAAATTGTTTTTGTTTGTTTTTTAAATCATAAAAATTTTATTGTTTTTTAAAACAAACAATTTTATTTTTTTATTATTTGTTATAGGTTATTATTTATAATTTAAAAATTTAAATAGATTTTATTTTGCAAATATAAATTTAGTAATAATGAATTTACAATTGAAAAACATTTATTTAAGTAAAACAGTTTATAACATAATTTTTTACAAAGTTTGTATTTGCAAATTGTTAGTTCAACTACAAAACATTTTTTACTAATATTAAATTAACAAATTAGTTTTTTGTTTGAGTATTATATTATTAAAAAAACTGACACACAACAATTACAATGACTAGATAATAATATCAAAATGCTAAAGTATTAAATCTCAATAGAAACGCTGAGTGAGA